TTTTATTGGCCTGGAATCTATTTAATCTCATCGTTCAACCTATATAATCACAAAAATTGGAAATTTCCGCCCATATGTCTAAGTTGTAGCTCCAATTCTTGCGATCTTCCTTTGCGAAGCAATCTAAGCTGTTCTGTAATAGAATCATAAAGTATACTTCTCACCTTCTTTTCGCCAAATTTTCCACCATTGCTTCTGATAATCTCATCAAGCTGATCTCTGAAATCCCTCCAGTAGAGACACCAACATAAAATTTCTTCCTGATTAGCTCGATTTGCCCTACCTTCAGCATCGATGGCTTTGTCACATAACTGAGCTAGATGTTGTGAGGCTACATCAATGCCATCATAGGTAATTTTTTTACATGTAAAAACATCAGTCACATTATTATGGTTTATAGAAGATAAAGTATCAGATTCCGAGGGCAGGGCCGATGATTTTCTGCATTTCACGGAATGCTGCAGAAATCACGGAATCAGGTCCTAAACACGGAATTGTCGCAGAAAGTAGGGTCTATAATTTTTTATAAGTACCCATGATTCTAAAAAGCTAAAAATATAGCTTCCGAAAATTTCCAGTGTAGAAAATAAATGAACCTAAAATACAAGCATGGTCGAGTTAAAAATTTTACCTGATATCAGAAATTATCCTAAGAATAAATAAACAACTTATTGCAGAACATTCGAAGTTTCTATTACAACCAACACAGAATTCATGAATAACAGCGCAGAATTTACGCAGAATTCATAAATTTTAATGTACGGAATTTTTGCAGAATTTGATTTTGTCACGGACGGAAAAATCATCGGCCCTGTCCGAGGGGAGGTTGAATAATTCATGCTTGAGTTCATTCATTCCTTTTTTCTTGTGTGATCTATTACATGGTTGAATAGCCGAGTTGAGGTTATGAGACGTTTTCTCTTCAGGTTGTATTGGGAGAGACTCTTGGGCTTGATGTTTCTTTTCCCGATTTCTCTGCCTAATATCATCACTAACCTTTTCTTATGTACTTCGTCCAAGAAAGCATCTATCTCCATTTCCTTCGATGACTTAGAGCTAGGAGGCGAAACTTCTGGTATCGCTTCTTTTGGTAGTGAAGTATTAATTTACTTACTCCGTTTGCTCTCTAATATTTGCTCTGTAACAGAATTGAAGTTAGATGAACAATTGTTAGGAGATTTAGTTACCTTGGTAACATTATCATTTTGCATTTGCCCGTAATCCTCCTCTAATTTCGCAACTCTAGCTTTAAGCTCAGCGTTCTCAGACTCAAGTTTAGTAGTAACTCCTTTATTTTTTTCTAATTCCTCGATTCTGGCCTTAAGCTCAGCATCTCTAGCTTCAAGTTCAGCTTTTTCAAGCATAATCTTAGCATTTTCAGCCTCTAGATCAATGATACGCTGTCTCATTACTTCAAGCTCGGATGTATTAGCTTCGTTGACTGACATGATCAATCATAACTTTATATATGAAAGAAATTGTTCAATGTTTTAAAAAATACCAAAAAATTTCCAGGACGGGCCGTCTCAGAAAAATGCCAAGAAAAAATTTTATTATTATGGTAGATAAATAAATGTTAATATAAAAAATATATCGCTCAATTGTGATCTCAAGAATAGCATTAGGAAAACGGTGGACAACTAGTCGTTTTCGTTGGATTTAATCCAACAAGTGTAAAATGGCAAGAAAAATTTTAAAAATTCTCGATCATATGCGAGTTAATAGACATCGATAACAATACAATAAATTCACGAAATACACATGCAAAAGTAAACTGATTATGTATGAAATTAACAACCAGATCCAGCTTTATTGTTATAAAAAATAGGATTCTATGATTGAACTGCCTTCTTCTTAATATTTCTGATGCAGATATAAATTAATGATACAATATATAAATTAGTCAATTTTTCGGTAAAACGACCAGATTTTCACACATTTCTTTAACAAAAAGAGATCAAATACAAAAGCAAGATAATTCAAACATTATTTTATTAATAATGCAAAAGATAATTCATATATGGCAATGTTTTGATTACAACTATCCATTTTGTGCTAGCGATTGATTCACGATTTTGTATGAAAATAAATAACGCCAACACAATAGCTGTTCATAAGGTTTATCGCTCTACGAGTCTTAATGGAAAGCTGAAGATGGCGAATGGGTTCAAACCATCGAGCATTGGGAACGGAGCTTTGCCATGAACCCTCAATATCGTCACCACCATTATTCACCCATTCAGAGAGAATTTCCCTTGGGTTCGATAACTGGTATCCATAGACAAAATCGTCGTCGTCCACTGCTGAGTCCTGTTCACATCTCGATGCAACCACCACTCTCTTCCACAAATCTTCACCTTCCGAAACTAGATCCCGATGCTTCATGCTTTTTATTCTGTCCATATTGACCCAATACACAACAATTCCATTAAATCCCCTACGGCTCTTGATCAAATCGATTGCATTATCAATAGATGGGTTTAGGTAAAAGCTAGGATCGGACCCGAAATCAAGATCACGTTTGCAATATGAAAGCTTGATTCCATTCTTACTGATATCTTGGGCGCTTTGTTGATTCGTTGCGTGAAAGAAGGCACAGTAAGTGCTACACATCGTATTAGCATCAGCAACTTTCGTGTTGCTACTTAAAAAATCATCTATTCCAGCAGCGATATCTTCATATGACGCGGCAAACATTTGTGGCCCACCCTTTCTATCATAATTGTTCCACTGGTTGCGTGGAAATTGTGTATCATAGAAAATATTTTCGAAACTCAACTGAGAGAAGGAATTCCACGGATTGAGAATCCATTCAAATAACCAATGATACAAAATCTGCTTAGACCAGATGGTATCATCACACACACTACCACGTAGTTCACTTGTAACTTCCTCTGTAAGACCCCCACTTCACAAGTAACCTTTTAGCTTCACCTGATGCTATATCACTTACACTACTTCCTTCGATGCCAATGAAAATCGTTGGATCCAACCATTGACGTTCTACTAGAAAATCGAACATAAGTTCCGCATTTGTCTTGAGGTCAAGACGAGCCTCCCTCTCTAGAAAGGATCTAACAAGACTTGCTTGAAAGCCACGGTCAACAAAATAGGTGGTGATCTCAGAAAGAAGGGGATCGATGGTATTATTTTCTGATTCATCTGATAGTGTGGTTTCGTTTATTGAATCTTCAGGTAATGTGGCTTCACGTACACTTGATGGTGGATTATAACCATGCGAAGACATTCTTGAATTTCTTGGTTCTTTAAAGTCGTCCTGAAGTAAAAAGTTGCATATAAAATTAAAGCCGCGTTATAGTTAGGGTTAGGGTGAGAACAGTGTAGGGTTTGGGTTGTTTTATTAGTAAAATTTCACGAGGAACATTTTTAGTTAGGCCGTAGTAGGTGGCTTCATAATTAAAATTTAAAGCTATTTTTGTTTTTTCGTAAAAAGTGGGTTCGCTTCGATTTTTATGTTACACCTGATCCTGAAATTCTATTGACCAATATTACATGCGGTGGAAAATTTTTTGTGAAGCTTTTACACCATTGCGTGTTTTAACATCGATCTTCTTTTTTTATTTTTATTTTATTTTTTCAAATTTTGCTGACCTTTCGTATTATCTTTTTTAGCAGGTTATTTTATTGACTAGGAAACAGGTGCTGTTAGGTGTCCGAAGCCAACATAACTTATAAACAAGATTGATTTATTAGCTTAAAATAAAAACTGATTGGCTAATAATAATGATACGAGGATCATCAAATCCAAAAATAGAAGCGGACATAAACACACAAAATCTGGTCTATGACAACACCGTAAAGTCCTCGCTACGCTTCGGACAATAAGCACCTAAAAATCCCAAACTTTATTGTTACAAAAAAATAAGTGGAATTTACAAATAAGGGCCTGGAAAGTAAAAATAATTACAAAATACGGGCCCAAATTAAAAATAATTACATATAAGGATCTAATTTTTAAAAAATATTACATATAAGGGCCCAAATCTATTGATGACTGGAAAAAACGGATCACAGGCTTATAACGATAGCAAAATCGCGATTATAGGATTATCGATTGTTTATTATAGACATTTAGAGTTATCTATATACTGATTATTAGATACAAGGATAGTTATAATCATTTTCGCTCAATTATTCATAAGGCGAAGTTTCAACAGAGTAGCTCTCTAAGCTGAACGAACTTCTTCTATATTAGTAAATGTCATGCCAATTCGCAATGTTTACTTGGCATCATAGTGATTTGTTATAACAATAAGCAATTTCATACAAAGAAAATTAAATTTATTAAATTTAAAAAATTTTCTTTTCAATCGATCGTTACATTTTTTATGCGATTCTTATACATAACGATCAAGCACAGGCGTGAATAGCGTCACGGTTATTTTGGGCCCTTATATGTAATATTTTTTAAAAACTAGGCCATTGTTTTTAATTTTGGTCCGTATTTGTAATTATTTTCACTTTCCGGGCCCTTATTTGTAAATTCCCCAAAAAATAATTTAAAGCGAGATAATAAGAAATGTGAAACTGAACTAACTTGGTAGGAAATAAAGATTATGACTAATTTGACCGTAATACGAATTAAAACAAAATTTAAAATACTTTTACCTGTTAGCAATTAAAGCTTATTATTGCTATCATCGTTATAATTTATAAAATTCTTAAGCAAAAGTGTTAACATAAACTATATACCAGTAATATGCGTTGCTATTGAAATTTAATAAGCATTGTTTTTTTTTATATAACTAATTAATATTTGGAGGGAGATCTATAGAAAATATGCAATTATTAAACCAAATTTAATAAC